CTGTCTCTTTAAATATCCAAAATATCAAGCCACTTTTTAAACCTTCAAAATGGCGACAACCTCCAGACCGGCAAAAGTCCACAGCTCAGACCACCTTTCTCTTCACCTTCTCTGTTCCCCAGCCACTGTGCACAGTCCTTCATGCAGTCCCTGGCTAGCAACGTAATTTAGGTTAATTCTTAAGTCCTACCACCCCAGGAATCTGCGAGAGTGCTGTCTCTTTAAATGTCCAAAATAGTCAAGCCGCTTTTTAAACCTACAAAATGGCGGAACCCTCTGGACCGGCAAAAGTCCACAGCTCAGCCTACCTTTCTCTTCACCTTCTCCATTTGTTCCCCAGCCACTGTGTACAGTCCTCCATGCAGTCCCTGGCTAGCAGGGTGATTTTTAGCTTAATTCTTAAGTCCTACCACTACTCGGGAATCTCCAAGCTGTTTGTGCCATCAGAATCGCTCACGACCGCTGCTAGACCACAGCTCCGTATGCCTCCTCTTTTGGTATTTTCAGGCAAATTCTTCTGCTAGTTGGGGTTTAGTCCACTTCTATATCCTTCCCTTCAAAGCTCAGGGGTCCAGGATTATCTTCTGTGTTTATGTTAATTGGTTTCCCTTTTCTTTGTTGAAGAGGGTCTGTGCAGTCTTTCTGCCTAGTCCACCGTCTTGCTCACAATCTGCTTCCTGATTTTAAATGATGCAGTATTATCTTCAGCAAAATTTTATTTGCATATGATATTGTTGTTAGGTGCCATTAATTCATCTCTGACTCATAATGACCCTGTGCACAGAACGAAACATTGCCTGGTCTTATGCCAGCCTCACAATCCTTGCTATACCTAAGCCCATCATTGCAGCCACTGTGTCAATCCATCTCATTGAAGACCTTCCCCTTCTTCACTGACCCGCCACTTTACCAAGCATGATATCCTCCTCCAGGGAATGGTTTTTTCAGTCTGTTGTACATAGGGTCACTATGAGTTAAAGGTGACTCGATGGCACTTCACAACAACAACCCATATTTTACCAAGGAGTTCTGGTGGCATAGTGGTTAAAGCATTCGACTGCTAACTATAAAACATCAGCAGTTCAAAACCACCATCTGCTCTGTGGCAGAAAGATGCTGCAATCTGCTTCCATAGAGATTTATAGCCTTGCAAACTCTATGGGGCAGTTTTCTACTCTGCCCTATAGGGTCACTATGAGTCAGAACTGAGTTGATGGCAGTGGGTGGGTACAAGTTTTTACTTAATTTTTTTTGTTAATTGTCTTTCTCCCTGAGTAGAAGGTAAGCCCAGGAGGAAAGGGATTTAGCATGTCTTGTATACAGTTGTTTCTCCAGTGCCAACACACTGGAATGAAGAAGTGAATGAACAAACTTTAAGGAAAATTATAAGGGTATTTTATAAAATAGTTACAAGAAAAAATTAATGTATTACTTTGCAACAAAATGTCTCCTCTTTCTATGGTTTATCGTGGGGACTAGAGATAAGTTTTTAATAATTTCTATTATTATTATTTTTTTAAATAGATTGATTTGTACATGCATTAAACCCATTGCCATTAAGTGGATACCAACTCCTAACAACGCTACAGGAAAGAATATGTCTGCTTCATAAGGTTTCCAAGGCTGGAATCTTTACAGAAGCAGACTATCTCATCTTTTGCTGGTAGGTTTGAACTGCCAACCTTTGGTTAGCAGCCAAGCTCTCTGTCACTGTGCTATCAGAGTTTCCTTTGCATTAAAATACTCAAAACCAAACTCACTACCATTGAGTCGATTCCAACTCATAGCAATCCCCACAGGGTTTCCAAGGCTGTAAATCTTTACAGAAGCCAACTGCTTCATCTTTCTTCTGTGGAGCAGCTGTAGAATTTGAACCACTGACCTTCTGCTTACCAGCTAAATATCTTAACCACTGCACTGCCAGAGCTCCTTCCCTGAGCATTAGAATGGATGAAATACAGAAGTGGAAAGGTTGATCTAAATGATCACTCTGGGTAGAAAGTAGAGTGGGATCCTTCTGTAAACAACGGCTGGCATAGCCCACGTCACTTTGTGGACAGCACACTGAGTCAGTAACTAATCTGAGATTTAGCAGCAACCTAAATAACCAAACAGTTAGATAGAATACTCACTATAATAAATACCAGTGTAAGGCTAGCAGAAGTTATTCTGACAGGCTTCCTAGAATTAAGATATGCATTTTAAAAAATCCTGTATTTTAAATATTAGTTTTTCCAGTGTTTTATTGATAACATGAATTTACAAAACATCAGGGAAACATTCCAATTTTGAGTATGCTTTAGATGGTTATGTGATCTATAACAAAAACAGAAATAGTTCAATTATATTTTATAAAATAAGTGAAATTCATAACCCTAATTTAACAGATTTTATATTTATGTTACAGGATATATTTATGCTGAAATAAAGGCACAGTTAAGCTATTTTTCTCTTAACTAATGCAGATATTTGCTGTGCAATGCTGGGAGGACAGAAAGTCTTTCATCACTAACACTCTTGTCTGAATAACTGCATAATTTACCTTGTCATCAGGAAGCACATGCCAAATAGATATTGTCTTTTCCTCAACTTCATTGTTGATAGACAAGTAAGAAGGCTGGTAGATCTTGGTTGGTTCTAATATTAATACCTTGAAAATATAAGGAAAAGAAACTATATTAGTGACTTAAGATTTAAACCACTTACCACTGCTACAACACAGCCCAACTATGTGCGATTAATTAACGAGGTTCTGCATCCAGTGCTGGGGTAAAGCCATTTTAACTTCTGATTCTTGCCATTCCTATGCATCCTTCAAGCTTTTATAGTATCATACAATTATCTTCAAGTCCAATATTATTTTACTAATAAATAAATTGAAAAGAAAATTTTATAGCCCAAATACTGGTTTAGCTGTCCCTAGAAAATCTACTAAGGATACCTTTCTAAAAGTTTATTTTTTTATCATATAAAACATAATCTGTTTCTGTAAGTATAAATGCATCAAAGAAAACAAAAAAACAAACAAGATGAGACTCCACATATTGGACATACATAATTATTTTAACTTTTCAGCTATCATACCTTATCATAAAGATGCAGTAGTATGGTTTTCATATCCATGTAAATGGATTTTGTTGTTGTTGTTGTTATGTGCCATTGAGTCGACCCTAACTCATATCGACCCCTCCTTGGGTTTCCAAGGCAGTCAAGTTCCTTAGGTACTATGCTACCAGAGCTCCGTAAATCAATTTAGAAATGATTTCTGGCTATTATTGAAAGAGCTTTATATATCAGTCAAAGACATTACCATAGCTAGCTATATGAAGTAGTAAATATTTTTGCACTGTCTCCAAAACTAAACTGGCATCTTCAATAATTAATTTGCTTTTTCAATTTCTTTAATAATGATATATTTAGCTGCACAAGAGAGAAATAAAATGTGTGCCAATTTGCACATGTATGAAGGGTATATGATAAGTGAGTTGAGAGTCTTCATCAAAAGATTATATAATGTATTGTATCATTACTAACATCTCACAATGGGAGCAAATAACCACATATGTCCTGATTTCAAAGGTGGTACAATTACTATTTAATTGTACAAATAGTTAAAGGGACCTTGGCAGGCCAAATTTGCTATCCAGATTTCGGTAGGAATGTTAAAATATTAAGGAAAGAAAAGCCAAGATCTAGCCATGAGAGAAACTAGGATAGTTCCTTCTACTCCACTGCTTCAAGCTCAAGGAAACTGCCTTTTAGAATTAATCTTGAAACAAGTAAGTTTTCCAAGTAAAAGTGGAGGAAAAGACCTTTAGAAGACTTTGACAATGAGGAATTAGAGCCACGTAATACAGTACGACCTAAAAGTAGGGCGTGAGTGACAAGGCACAAGCATCTGGATTAGAAAACTGATTCCTGGCCATAAACCACAAACCCAATGTATTTATTTTACTCTAAAATTAGCAGTATAGTAAATTTACTTAAGCTAAGTCACAGAAAAGTAGAGAAAGGGAACTAGGAAAACAAAATTTTCTTTACTTCAAGTACATAAAACTGTAAGGGCTCAAAGAATTCTTGGCCAGGTTCTAGCTATAAAAGCAATACATTAAATACCACAAATAAACATACAGTAAGAAGCCACAAGGAATCATATTCTGCTCTAGGAACATAGTTATCTAACTCCCACTCAATAGAGAGGTAACTGCTACTGGTTAATGAAAAGCAAACTAATTTTCAGTCTAAACTTGGCAGAAATGGTGCTTTCCAATTGAAGTATCCCAGTGTTTGAGAAATTAAAAACAAATAACATGGAATGAAATGTGCGTTTCTCAAAATATCATCCAAGTCTCTACAATGATGAACGAGAATATACCTTTTCCCCTAATTATGTAGGTACATTATTTAACAGCTCAAAAGCACAGGTGCAATTATCTATCTTCTTCAATTATGTCTTTATTGTCACCTCAAATATTTCTAACAGATAAGATCTGAATTATATGCTCCCATCTTGAACCAAGAAGTAAAAACAAAGTTGTAGTTATTGTTGTTTAAAAATTTTTTGAACCCTTTGATCAGCCCTTGAAAAGACAAGGAATGAAGGATTTCAAGCAAGCATTTCAGAGATCAGAGAAAGGCTGAGAAAAGAAGAGGGAAAGGAGGCAGTTTGGCAAAAATCATAAAGCTAGACACAGCTCATTGAGGAGCACACATATTTATTGCTTTTAATTTCTAGTTTTTTATATTGGTCAATATAACAATTAACCGCTAACTTCCTGTGTCTGAAGCAGGAAGAAAGATAGCAAGGCCTATAAAGAGTTGATATTAACTAGGATTTCATGTATAAGTTTCTACAATGAATAGAAGACTCTACAGAGTCTTCAAAAGTACCACACTCCTCCTCTTTCTCTCCCCTTGCATTAGGTGATAGCTGATATTCTCCCAACTTTTCAATATAGGAAGAAAAGGAAATAAACGAAAAAGAAAGGTAAGGAAAAAGAATAAACCCAAAGTGAATCCCAGTAATAATAAATGATAAAAAAACAAAACACCAAACTCATTGCCACTGAGTCGATTCTGACTCATAAAACAACCATTCAGATCATTTCACAGATAAACTTTCACCTGCCTCCTTTTACTCAGGATCATAGTTATTTCTAGAAGGAATGAGAAAGAATATGTAGAGAGATCAATGGAAACAATCAAACTAATCAATATTTTCTAATACCAGTCATCCTGGTTTTCAGTCAGACCCACTTAAAAATCAAGATAATATCATCACTCCAATCCAGACATACTGCAGCCTTCATAAGGTGACCCCAGGAGATGCTACCTGAGGACAGGATGAGTAACTAGCTAGATGCCAGTTCTAGAGGCCTATCCTTCTCCACCCTGTGCAGCTGGGGTGGCAAATGCCAATGATTGCAGGGGAATGTGCCTGGATACAAAACAAACAAACCACTGTCATCAAATCGATTACGACTCATACCAACCCTATAGCATACAGTAGAACTGCCTCAAAGGGCTTCCAAGGCTATAAATCTTTACAGAAACAGACTGCCTCATCTTTCTCCCAAGGAGCAGCTGGTGGGTTTGATGCCAACCTCTTGGTTAGCAGCCATATGCTTTAACCACTGCACCACCAGAGCTCCTGTGTGCCTGGTAGGGAAGATAAATGAGTAAAGAGAGATGATGGAATTGTAATTACCAACTAGAATGGCATCCACCACTTGGCTAAGTAGACAAATTGCCAATCTCTTTAATTTTCAAGAGTAGCCGAAAATTTGCATTTATGTGAATTCTCCTTGTTTTCACTTGATGTTAATCAAACTATTTTTCAGTTTAAATAATCTACCTTTTCATCCATTTTGCCTATCTTTTCCTCTACCATCTTAACCAGTTAATTGAAGAGCTTATGTCTATTATATGTGACCCACCTCTGGGTTTGTCTCTACTGGCTATTTTAGCTCTTCATTACAAGTCACTTTTTCCTGATTCTTGGACTGTCTAGTAATCTTTGATTACTGGTCACATGATTGACATGCTGTAGAGGTTCTGGGTTATATTTTCCCAGAGTACTAAGGAGGATTTTTTTTTTTTTAATTGCTTTTTTCTGGCTAGTAGTTAAATTACCAGCATATCACCTCGAACCTGTTGAGATCTCATTTTATTTAGGGTTTGTTGAGATTTTAGTTTTGCCCTTATTGAAGGACTTAGGCTTTCTGTGTCTCAACCAAACACTTGGGGCATTTACAAAATCTCTTGATGACAGCTGTGCTGAAAGTCCAACATGTTATCCCTGCATTGTTCAAGCTCTGGAATCTTGTTCATCTCTCAGCCTCCTGAGAGGTGTTCTCTGCCAGGCCCCCTAGAATCTTATCCTTTGATCACACAATCCAGGACTTGGCCTAGGACTCACAGGAAATATCCAGATAAAATCCTGAGATTCACAATTTATTCATGACTCCTTCTCCAATATTCTTCTCCCCATATTCTTGCTGCCTTATAGCTCCAAACACGGATCTCTCGCTCCCTTGCCTGTGTAGAATGTCACTACCTACTAGGGCTCTCCCATGCTGCAGCCAGAAAAATGACCTTACAGAAAAAGACTATGTGAATATGGAGCTCAAGTCAAGTACCTCCTCCTCAAACGCTGTAGCCCTCCAATGATTGCTGTGTATTGCCAGCAAACACTTGCTTTATTGATTTTTGTCCAACTATTATAGTTATTACACCAAAAGGGTAAGCTCAATGCCATTTACTTCATCACAGCTAGCACTGAAGGTCAACTCTCTTTATTCTTTTACTAATTACTAAGTAGTCTTTTACATTTACAAACTTAATCATATGTACATCCTCACACATAATAAAAGAAACATTAATCGAAATGAAACTGATATATCATTTTCAACTTAAAAGTTTAGCAAACCTTTAAGTCTGGTAAACACATTCTGTTAGACACTATGTAGCCAGTGAGAATGTCAAATGATACAATTCTTAAGGAGGACAACAGAGAAAGAGCAATCAATTCCACTTGGAAATTTATCCTACAGATATATTTGCACATGTGCAAAATGGTGTATGTGCAAGGTATTTCAGTACAGCATTATTTAGAATAATAAAATATTGGCAATATCCATTAATAAATTGTATTTATTATGTTTTATAAATTTACTTAACAAAATAAGCTAATTAAGTTACGGTTCAGTCACACATTGGAATACTACGTAGTTGTTTAAAAAAGAAAAGGAATGAATAAACTCTCCATGTAATGACTAGAAAATCTCATTGATACATTGCTGAGTAAAAAAGCAAGGTTTAGAACATTGTATGTAATCTCTCTCTTTAAATGAAAAAAAGAAAAAAATAATTACAATAATAGTTAATATTTATACCAGACACCACTGCAATAGTTTAAAGTCTATTACTTCATTTAATACTCATCATTACCCTATGAGTCAGGTACTACTCATTCTGTACATGAGGACACCAAGCTCCGAAAGGTTAAGCAATTTGCTCAAGGTTATACAGTTAGTAAGTGGCAAAGAGGGAAGAACTCATGAAGACTAGCTTCAGAGTCTATTACACAAGTGTTCTCTATATTCTAAATTTAAGGAATCTGGTGGTTCAGTGGTTAAAGCGTTAAGCTGC